AAATGGAAATATGATGAATCACCTGTCATTAGTAGGTGTGTATCAATTCCTCAAATTCATGATGGTTCAGACCTCAGTTCTTCAACGACAGCTTGTTTTTTTCTTTTTTTTTGGGGGGGGGGGTAAGAAAAAAATTCTAAATTCTAAAATTCTTAAGCTTTATTAATCACCAACTATGTGGAACACTATAGAGGGTTATTATCCATCTTAGGTTAATGAAACTAGGCTAGTTTTTACCACAAGAGTGATCACTCGGTCATGATCGGACTAAAATAATCACGTCACACACGCAGTTGGAAGACAATTAAATAGGTGTAATGTGCAATATTTACAAAATGTACAGCTTGCCATAACTTTAAACAAAAAAATATTGTGATTTAAATGTGTTATAGTGTTAATTGTGAAATTAAAAATAAGTTCTGTGACATTAGCAACGTAATGAGAGCTCAACAGGGTACATCTTCATCGGTTGGGTTGGATTGGGGGATATCGCGGTTCCGTCTTCCGTAACAGCGACACGAAGTCATGAACGTTTGGATCACGGATTTGATAATGGTGAATGCTGTTACACCATCAGCCGTAAGTCATCACTTTTCAAAGTTGGCACTAGAGTGAAAGACACAACTACTAAAGTAATGGAGATGGCTGCATTTGACTGTCGGCCATTTTCTATAGTGGAGGATGAGCGACTTCATTGGCTCATTGGCCGCTTCAAAGGCAGCTCAATCCACCAGCCCAGAGACATGCTTATAATTCATTATTAAACTTGGCCCGCAGATCGATCTTTCGGTTTCCAATGGAAAAACAATGCGATGCTATTCCGCTAATCAGCACCAGCAGGCCGGACGAGTTTTGCCACTGGCAGCCCTTCCCAGCTCAGCTAGTCGCTCCGAGGTTAATTGGTTATTATGGATCCAAGCAGCCTTAGCTGTCGGATCCCTATTGTTTTTGCACTGATTATTGTTATTGCTAATCAGTGCCGGCAAGCTTCAATACCCCTTAATATATATTCTCTCTCTCTCGCTCTCTCTTTCAAAGATGGTCCTCAACTTCCAAAGAAATAATCATACACTATATGGATTAAAGTATTGGGACACACCTGAATCCATATATTGTGCTGTCATAGGATGCCACCTTTGCAATACGTCAGTGTGTGAAAGTTCATTCCTGCTAAATATTCCACAGTCAACTGTAAGAGGAAGTGGTTAGTATTTTTTCAGTGCTTTACAGTATGCATCTTAATAGCTGGTATTTCACTGCACTTCGCCGTGTTTCATTATTACTTATTTTTGTACCTCAATGTGTTTGAAAGTAGGTATTTTATTGAAAAGACTACCTACTATTAATTTTGTGTCTGTATTATTTATTTCTCTGTTTTATTGCTGACTCCAAAAGCTTCACGCAAAAATCTGTATGCACCCGTCTGAGTGTACAAATGGCAAATGAATCTCCTGAATCTTGAACCTCTTGAGTCTTGAAGCGATATGAAGTGAATCGTAAAGTAACAGAGCGGGGTCGTCAAGTGCGAGGCATAGCGTTCTTAGTGCGTAAAAGTTGCCAAAGCTCTGTTGACTCAATAACCACAGAGTTCCAAACTTCCTCTGATATTAATCCCAGCCGGGAGCTTCATGGAATGGGCTTTCATGGCTGAGCAGCTGCATGCGAACCTCACATCACCAAGCGCAATCGCAAGCATCAGATGGGGTGGTGTAAAGCACATTGCCACTTGACACTGGAACAGTGGAAACGTGTTCTGTAGGGTGACAATTCACGACAATGGACGAGCCTGGGTTTGGCAGATACCAGGAGAATGTTACCTGTCTGACTGCATTGTGCCAGCTGTAAAGTTTAGTGGAGGAGGGATAATGGCATGGGGCTGTTTTTCAGGGGTTGGGTTATAGGTCCCTTAGTTCCAGTGAAGGGAACTCTTACTGCTTCAACTAACCAAGACATTTTGGACAATTCTATGCTTCAGATTTTGTGGGAACAGTTTGGGGGAGGCCCTTTTCTGTTTCAGCATGACTGTGTGCAAAGGTCCAAAAAGATGTGGTTGGGTGAGTCTGGTGTGGAGGAACTTGACCGGCCCACACAGAGCCCTGACCTCAACCCCATCAAACACCTATGGGATAAACTGGAACAGAGATTGTGAGCCAGGCCTTCACCTCCAACATCAGTGCCTGACCTCACAAATGCTCTTCTGGCTGAATGGGCCAAAATTCCCACAGACACACTCAATAATCCTGTGGAAAGCCTCCCCAGAAGAGTGGCAGCTGTTATAGCTGCAAAGGGGGGGGGGCAACTCCATATTGGTGCCTATGGATTTAAAATGGGATGTCATAATAGTTCCTGTGAGTGTAATGGCCAGGGGTCCCAATACTTTTTTTGTTTAGTGTCAGTTGAGTCTAATACAAATATGATAAGTAAATAAATAACTGAATACATAAACACAGAAAAACATGCTAAGATGCTTTTATGACGACTAAATGTGCATAGCTATCATAAATCATAAATTCAAAATACTATTTTGACTTGAATGCAAGATTAGTTTTTGGGGGTTCTCATATTCAAGCGGCACAATTTAAATATCATTATGCGCGTAAAACAGTGGATAGCATAAATGACCTGCCTTTTTGCTAGACGGCTGATCACTTCAAACGTAATCAATGTAATCGACGTTGTTTTAGCGATATGATGTTGTATGAGCAGCGATCGCCGTTTCGGTGCACCGCCTGTGTAGCGATCGCCGTTTCGGTGCACCGCCTGTGTAGAGCCCCGGGGGTGAATTTTTCACATTTGTTCTGATCCCACCTACTTTGACTGACATAAATCTGACTCCATGAGGTTGGACAGGAGGTTCTAGCGTGCTTTGCACCACACCTTGCGTATCTTAAATAGCATAAATGAATATGTGCATTCGTGGATTTATATTAATAGTAACAGTCGTAACTGCGTAATGTTTGCTGTGGAATGCGCGCGTTTCGTTGCTGTGTAACCATAAGTGTCGACTGAATAGTTGGCATCTGTCTGTGCTGCTGACAGTATGAAATCGACCATGGCTGTTAATCAAGAGAGCAACTTCAATTTTAATAGAGTGACCATCTCCTTTGTTGTGATGACTCAACCACTCACAATACGTTTTTTTTGCCCCCTTTATGTGGGTTTGCTGTATGAAAAACAGTCTACGTTCTCTAGGCATGTGGAATTCGTAACATTGATCATCAATATCCCCCCCATACATTAGTTTATTGGAATGTTTGCCCTTTAATGCATTTATTGTAATGTAATTACTACGGCTTGCTTTATAACAGTAATATGGTTAACTTCTCATATGTTCCTGTCCAACAAAATTATTTTTCTTTAGAAATATGAGATCTGGTATTCCTAAAACCTGTTTCCCCCCCCAAGAATAGTTTGAAAAACATGGGAAAAACTGACTGCTTTCATGTGTATACTACTCAGCTGAAGAAAGGATACTCAGAGCAGCTTATCTAAAGGTTCAGTGCCGCCTCCCCAGCCCCACCCTAACCCAAGGCAACAGCTACACAGTGTAGGTCCAAGTCACCAGTGGCTCAGCGCTTGTTTATGTTTTTTTTGTTTGCCGATTTCAGTGGATAGCTTTTTAACCCGAGAAGGCATTCGCTTTGCTTACACATACAGTGAGATATTTCCAGAAGCAAGTCAGGATAGATAACTGCCAACGAGCAGCATCCTTCCCGGGATTTCAGCTTTCAGGTCCAGTTTTTAATAATCAAATAAACTACTGCTTGTCTGTGAGAAAGAGCTTCTTAATAAAAAAAGAGGAAAAATGCCAAAGTAATATAACAAAGACCCAAAACGTCTAAAGCAGTCTACACAGCTCTCAACGCGTTTCCTGATATTACAACAGTCTTACAAAACATTAGGCTATAGATATATGGAAGGGATGCACTGCTTATGGAAAGAATAGAGGCATCTGGATATGTGTGAAAAGGAGAAATTAAAAAGAATCACTGACATATTGCTAAGTGTATTTTAAATGTGGATTTAAGATGCGTTGTTTTCTTGATGTTTTTAGATTATCTAAGCAGAATTGAGAAGCTGTAACAGGCTTTCATGATGTCCAAGTTTTGCACTGGAGCAACATAAAGATTTTGGGAGCACAGCTTCCTTTATAACACATCAGTCATGTGGCAACGCAACCTTCTTGACAGTGTTAGGCGACCCAGATGCGAAATGGGTCACCATCAATCGAAAAGAAGTTTTCCCCTCATGATCAGCGCATCCTCGTGAGGGTTGATGCCAGTGATCTACTCGGGGATTTCAAGGCGGTTAACGCGACTCGTTACTGATGCTCTCTGTTCCGTTGCTGACCCCGCCGATGGCTGGCCTGTGTGGTTCCGGATTACCAACTTCACCTAAAAGTTCCATAAAATAAGAGAAGAGGTGCCTCCTGCTCATTCAGTGGCACCACGTGTCTTACGTAAAACATTGACTAGAACTTTCATATATCAGCAGGTAATCCGGCGTTATACCAAAGACTTCATTCGAACGCTACGGTGTCCTGTGTGAGGAACCTAATTATCATAATCATAGACTAAAGATCGGAGCCGCCGGCAGCAGGCATCGTTCGACCTGAAGCCGGAATAAGGAGAAGATCATCGGGGCCGGTTTTTCGCCGGCGTCTCCCCAGCGCCGCAAAGGCTGCCGGCGACGTGTGCAACTCGTGTCATCGGCCTTAGCAAGTTATTCGCCAAAATAAGCCGATTTTCACGCCTATTTGTTGATACACATTGCTTCCGTAAGCACACCGCATAGATGCCGCGTCGGATCCTCCGCTAGTGAATCCCGCCGCATGTAGTGGAGCAGATACCGACAGCATCTATGAGGGATGTATACCGGTTATATGCAGGTCCTAAAGGGGCTTATATACGCGCCAGCAGGAAAGCAAGTGTACAGCGGCGCCCGATCACATTAAACATCACAGAGAAACAGTGACCAAGAGCCGCCTGAGTGATACGTACCAGCCGGCGGAGCCTCCTCCGTAACATGCTGCAGCTCTCGCCTCCTTCCTCCAAAGACAGTATGGAAATACTTCTGTCGGCTCGCCTCCGATAAGCTTCGCGTTTGCGTTGTCACCCGGGCTGTGTTTCACCTCTCGGCGGCGCTATGCTCTCTGCACACTGGCAGCCCCGGATCCCGGCATGGTGTCAGCGCTTTCCGCGTTGCGGCGCGGCGCACGGAGGCTGGCTCTGCTCGCCCGCACGCCGGGCTCCTGCGCTCCCACACATGCTGCTCTGCGCCCTGTTGCTGCGCTTCCCTCGGAGCCCCCGGACCGCCGCGCTCTGACGTCACATTCAGCTCTGGAGGGAAATGAAATCTAAAGAAAGGCGGATAAAACAGACATTTCCCTCCTTTCCCCCCACCCTACTACCACTACACCCCAGTCAAACAATTTCACGCTACCCTTCGCTCCCCCCACCTCGCTTAACGCAGTGAGCTCCGACACAGCCCCCACCTTCCGAAGGTGCGGTCTCAAGGGCTTTATGGGAAGTGTAGTCATACAGCGTTATCAGGGAAATAACTTTTCCTTTAGCCCGAAGTGATGTGTCAAATTTAATTCAATAGTTACAGAGAACTGTGTTACTATAAGAAATGCTACGGATCTTGGATAACTGGAAAAGCTTAAAGGTAAATAATTAATAATGTAATAAAATACGTATGATGCCTATACATATACACATATTCTAGCCTTGACAATTCGTTGTGTATCCATTTGGCCCAATGATACCTGTGTGTTCACAAGCACATCTGTGATAGATATGTTTTTAAATGTGAGTATCAGGTTGGATAGAACTAACTTCTAATTAGAGCTGACTACCACAACGTTAGCTCAATAATAACAAAAATAAGTTAAACATAATTATGTATACGCCCCATAACTGAACAAAACTAACGACTGATTGGCTTTTAGAGTTTTGATTTTAATTTATTGCAGATATGTAACTGCAACAGTATGTAAATAGTCAAATATGTCCAGTATAATGACCTAGACTCCTAGAGGGTAAAAGGTACTGGACAAAATCAGTGCAGCGATGAGGCGTCAAGTGACTGTGAGAAAGTACAGTGTGAAAAGGTGAGTCTAAGGCCTACAAATCTGCAGTGTGAGGCCAGGGGGGTGGGCGCATCTGCTATTTCTCACTTTGTTCCTCTTTCGATAGCATATTATAAATTATATAAAACCACAATTGTTTCCAGATTGGTTAGTGCTATATAAAAGCATGCACCTGGAATGCAAATGCAAACTGATCTGGTGCCGTTCTGTTCTATAATAACCAAAGACTGTCATCCAGGTTATCATAAACTACGGCAAATCCTTAAATATGTACATGCAATCTTCTGATTTTCCTGTGATCTTTGTCTTTGTTATCTTATACTTGATTTATTGCAGATGGTTTTTTATGAAAGTTGATATACAGTACTTGCTGTTAATTGTGACATGTTGAACTGTTATCATCCATCCATCCATCCATCCATCCATCCATATCTTAGTCATTTTTAACTGGGGAGGCCCGGGAACCTGTCCCAGGGCCGTAAGGCTGGGGTGCAACCTGAACGGAACGCAACTGTCGGACCGTTTCGTTTCTTAAATTTAATTATGAGGCTTATACTGACCTCTGGTGGTGAATGGAAAAATGTTTGGTAAACAACGAACGAAGTAACAAGAAAATACAAAAAAAAAGGTATGTATAAATAAAAGTATTGGAAAGAAGTAACACAACTTAACTGAATTAAGGATATTTACGTAAATATAGAATGGAAGCACAGACATGACTGCAAATAAAACAGTTTGCTTTTAATATTTAGCACTGTTCAGTGAAGCAGGGAGAAAACAAAAAAGAAACGCGGTAGATTGATTTCAGGTAGTGTTAAAGACAGCGACAATACATAATTATAATTTCCAATACAATTTATGTCCAGGTTGTCCTCTACATAGTGTTTAGTTGCAACTTTTTGATTGAACGGAAATTTGGAATTAACCGTATAGCCACACGATGGCAGCACGTACATGGATATGAAAGTATTAATTTGCCGCCTTATTTGATTTTTGAAGGCTTCTGCGATTACTGTTTTGGTGGTTATTGTAAGGAATAATTATTTCAGTCCTTATGATTATTTTGTTAGAAATCAGTAAAACCTGAAAGTAAGTTTTATAGTTTTTTGGATGTTTTTTTAGCATCAAATACCAATATTGTATTTTCTTGTGTTGATATTGCATGTGTGATTAAACATTCATGGTCTATCAGTCTACCATACCTAGGCCAGAGTTGTGGAGGACGGAGAGTTCTGGACCACATCCCAAACATCCTGTGGCACAAGCTCGAGGTTCATCGTAGGGAACATGCATGCATGCATGCAGATGATCCTATACTACAGGCAAGAGTGGAGGAGAAGTGCAAACTCCTGATGCTGGAGGTGTGAAGCAACTGGGCTGCCCTGCGTCCCTCACCATCCACATACATAAAATCCTTTTTCGGACTAAGAAAACATCCATAGTGTGACATCCATCCATTCTTTCTGACAGCTTTTGTCATGTTACACACAATAATTAATATCTTCTCTTCCTGGTTTCCTATGATAAAATGTGCATCCTGTTATGTTTTGAATTTTGATTTGTGGGTTTATTTTGGTAAAACAACATATAAATATACATATGTGTGTATGTATGTATGTGTGTGCGTGTGTGTGTATGTGCAACAAGTAAGTAAGTAAACATAAGCCAAGCATTACTTTGCAAACTTTGCTTCAGACTGACATTATATTATATACACACCATACACAATACTGTATCCGATTTTGTTTGAACAACAGTTTTTGATACCAGTCTGCATGTATATTTTTTCTCTTTCCACAAAGATATTTAGTGAATAGTAGGCACTGGAATGAAAACACAAGGATTTACTGTGCATGATTGTACTCCTGCAGTGGGAAGTACTTAAGGCCTGTGGTGACTTATCTAACTGCATCATGTTTTCACCGAGAAATTACGAAAAGCTCGTGGGTTTTGTTTTCACCTCAGCTTTATGTTTGTTGATGTCTGCATTCCTGCACTTATTTTAAAAATATGTCTAACTTTCCCTGATGCTGGAGACATTCCTTCAGTGAGGAAGTTGCATCTTTGAATATGTTATTGCCAGAGTCCCTTAGAGAGGAGAGGAGATTGATGGAAAAGATGGGAAACCTCATCCTTAGCCATCTGTCTCAAACTGCCCCCACAACCAGCCAGCCCCAAAATCCCTCCCTGAATCAGGCCCTCTCCACACTGTCCCTTTGTCAGTGGCTGCTGTCCCAGGACTGGGCGTGGCATGTGAGGAGTCTGGGGCAGCCATGGGTGCTTTCAGAGGCACCTGCAGATGGGACAAAAGAGCTCTGATTCTGGGCGTAAGGACAGGGTGTGTGTGTGTGTGGGGGGGGTGTCAGATATACATGACTTTGCGGGGACCAAATATACCCACAATGTGATAAAAACCTGTTATTTTGACGTTGTGGGGACCATTTTTTTCCATGCCCACAAGGGGAGATTCTGTTTTTATAAAAATCTATGACTGCAATCAAAAAACTAAAAATGGCAAAAGATTTTTGCTTGTTTACTTATGGTTAAGGTTAGGGCTGGATAGGGGTTCAGGTTGTCATAGCTGGGATTGAAGTTTTGCCCATAGAAATGAATGGAGAGTCCCCATAAAGATATAATTACAAACCTGTGTGTGTGTGTGTGTGTGTGTGTGAGATATAGAGAGGGCATATGTGGGGTGGGGGGCAGTTTGGGGTTAGCTGGACGGGGGCTGGACGGGTGGGCTGTCACTGCTGCCAGTGTGAATCCCAGCTTTAGGGAACCCCGCAGATTGACAGCTTTTGTTGGCTGAATTTCTATAAAACTGTGCTTCTTTAATGGGCAGTAAAGCTAGACTGTAGGCTTCAGAGGAAGGAGGTGGGGGTTGCTGGAGGAGATGTAGGGGGGGGGGTGTATTTTACTGCTCTGCTTGGATTGACCAATTCATGGGCATTCAGCTTCTGGCTCTTTATTCACTGAATGTGCTCTGTGCTGGAATGCAGCAGCATCAATTAGAATGTGTTAGCAGATAGTGCCCCTAAAAAGAGGGGGGAAAAAAAACGTTTTTGCTCTCCTTTTGCTCTCAGGACAACACAGCCCCACTATAGGTGGTGTCACAGACACAAAACCTTTTTTGTGATTCTCTCACCATTACATTACCCCTGCAATATGTAAGGTGGAGATTCTATTGATTTAAATTAAGTAGAAAACCCACTAAATCTCATTTTTATTCAGCTAAGATAATAGCACTATACCCTGTTAAAGATCCAAACGACTTATCTGTTGCTTAAAATCTCCCCTTTTTTCTTGGGGGGTTCCACTTTCACTACGTTTTTGTGCATTATTTTTATTCAGTAGTTGGGGAGGTCACGCGGGGCTTGTTTAAGGGGGCTGCTTTTAACACAAGCCGAGGCATCACTTTTTGTGCCCAGAGGAAGACTGACATTTCAGTTCACTGTTTGCTTTTTACAAAAAGGACATGAATTAAAACAGTTTCTTGTTATCGAACAGTTTGTTGTTGTCACAGACTGACAGTTCAGGTGAGATTAATAAGAAAACAGCTCTGGGTAATATGTAACATTCTGCTTCAGAGCAAAGAACAAAGGTGAAGAATGTTGGTCAGATGTCATTATAACATTCTGTCGATGCTCTTTCAGTCATGAACGTGTTGCGATCAGGGCAGTGGAACCCTCACTGCTGAGCATCATACAGATGTAGACACACATGTGGCTAGAAATGTATGTGCTTTGCCAAACGTGTGATATTAATGTAATGTTCATTTATTTTTATCTTGCAACTAAATAACATGAGTGAAAAAGCACATTTTTAAACTCCCACATTGTCTGAAAACAGAGCACCAGTTTGTACCTTTGCTTGTCACTGGTGCTGTACCCTCAAGGGACTGCCAGTTGTACCCTTACCTCCAGGTAAATGTACCTTTTAGTCTAATTTAAGGTACAGAAATAGATTCTGAGGAGCATCTTCATGGTACAAACAACATTAATGTACTAGCAATGGTACAAAAATGTTTCTCATAGTTCATTTCTGTATCAAAGCAAAGGTACAAAGTGGTTCTCTATTTTCTGACAGTGCAGGAAATTAATAAAGCAAAAAATCTTAACCTTGGCAGAGACTTCTGTCAAATTTAAAATTAAAGTAACCGGAAAAAGGGGAAACAAAATTACACCAAATTAACATTATGAAGAGTTTGCCTGCTGTAAGCAAACTGTTTTACGTTTTACAGATTTCTAAGGCAGAAAATCTGGCCTCAGAGTCTCCATTTACTCTCACAAATGTGATCTGTGGCTTTCAAGAGATTCGTCCATGTGAAGCTCGTTCCCGGCAACGGAATGCAG